TAAAAAAAACTACAGGGGGGGTTAAATTGACTCCCCGGGCCCCCCAGCAGGAATAGGGTTAAAGATGCTAAATAGATGACTCTATGTATATGATCAAAAGTATGGAGGAAATATATTATGAGATAATATAATACCTGATCTTCTGGACTTCTGAAGGATTTGTGTTGGTCCCTTAGCAACAGTATACATCTCAAAGTACCAGTATATGATGTAACTACTTAGTATACTCAATCACTGAGAAGAGCCTGAAAGATACTCGTAACTCGTGACTAGCACTGAAAACTTGAAAATCTGACAGAGTGACCATCCAGTTTATGTCAAACTATACAATGTAGAAACAAAATTAGCCCAGATTTTTTAAATTTTAAAAATCTATTTCTTAACTCATTTTTTTATCAGAATATTTGTAAAAACTTTGTAGATTTTTTTCTATTACAAACCTGTTCGTGTGAGTTTGAGTGTGACAGGCCGCCCTGCAGAGCGCCGGAGGATGAGGTCGAATATGTATCACACACGTTATAAACGCATTTCTTTTATATATGTTAGAATTTATATAAGTTATCACTTATCGACATCAGAGCTTTAAACAAGAAATTTCGAAAAAATAACCGTTTTCATGAATATTAAATAGATGGTTCATCTTGAAAATTATGTTGTAAACGTTGTGGAAAACTTCTTTCGGATTCATTTGCATGGGACATATTAAACTTTTTAAAGATCTGTAAATCATGACTTTGAGCGAAAATTCGACGTGGATACGTTTTCAGAATTAGTTTTTTTTTCAATTATTAAATAACGACGACATCAAATGTAAAAAAACGTTCTAGAATAAACTATACAAACGTGATGTATAGGAACATGTTGAGAAAATAAAAATTAAGCTTATCATCGAAAATAAGTAATCTTGTTCATTTATTAGTTTCTATTTTCTCAATATTCTGGATCATTACTCACAAAGATTTTCGCAGATTTTTTAGAATTATTATTGAAAAGACGACATTTGAAGAATTTGAAGAAATCTGCGAATAAATTCAAAGAAGATAAGAAATTCAATATAATAATGAAAACGAAATAAATGATTTTAGCATTGATTTATTGACAAATTTCTTTTGAGAAATATATTCTTAACCATCTAATTAGATTACTGTATAATTTGTACTTAAATTTTCGTTGTCGTTATTTCATAACTAAAAAATAATTCTGAAAATGTATCAACCCCCTAGCCCAACGTAGAAGTTTTGAACGTCGAATTTGCGCTCAAACTCAGGATTTAAAGATCTTTAAAAAGTTAAATATGTCTCAAATGAATCCGAAAGAAGTTTTCCACAGCACTGCATACTCAGTTCAACAACCTTACATAGCCGGTCACTCCCTTTATATTTGCTTTGAACCATAAAAAATGCTAGTTTTAAAGAAAAATTAGATAAGGAAGAATGGGAGAAATTCAAAGAGAGATGAATTAGGATAGAAGGAGAAAAGGGGGGGAAATATTTGATAGGATGAATTAACAAGGGATGAGGACTAAAGAGAGGATAAACTAAGGAGAAATGAGGATAAGGTGAGGGTGTAAAGGATAAAAGATATAAGGAGAGGATCAGGAAGTCTGTTCTTAATCTAATCTTAATCTTCTCAAATCTACTTTTCTAAATGATTGGTGTGTGATGACTGATGAGAGTGTGTAAGATGGAGTCCTGAGTCCTTAGGCACACTGCCTGAACAAACTAAATCTTTGTTTTGACCCACTTCCACTTGTCAGATTTTGATAAAATTTAGCTTTTTGGAAAGCCTTTGACATAAGGAAACGAATTGCACAAGTTTTGCGAAAAAAATTGCAAATTTTTTCCCAGCACATCCTGGTTTTCAAGTACCCAGCAGAGATAGGGTTAAACAAACATCGATTAAAATATGGTTAGCTGACAATTATGAATACATTATACAATACTTTGGGAGAGTGCTAAACAAATATGAAAATGTTACCTAAATTACTGGGATCTGGATAACTCTGAAGTGTCGCCAGACCTTTCACCGAGCATACCATATACATTTTATTAGATTTTAGCTCCAAAAAACTATTTAGGTAAATACGGAATGATGTTTGCGTCAGAATGTTTAAATTCTTCCAATTTTTATATTTTATTTTTTTAGAAAACGTTTTTAACGGATTTCGAAAAATATGCTCGGCATTCTTAGATAGTTGCGCAAGCGACAAGAGAAATAATTAAATTAGTTAAAGTCGTATGTTGCAATTTTCTCAATTTGTATGGACGCTAAGTTTTTCGGTATGAGACGTCTTTAACAGTTTTCTCCTTATAGACACAACAGGCAGAAGTAAGATTAGTAGCGATCAAAAGCGGCTTTTTATCGCATATTCAGCCTATACCCCCTTTCATTTTTCGCGAACACTCCCTTTAAAGAAGGTGGCTTAACTAACACCAGGTTGAGCATTAAAGGGACTGTGAGCATAATTTCAAATGACCCTCTATGCAAAGATGGCAATGCCCCGATTCACAACGGTACTCTTGAAAACTAATCAATCATGTGGAAAACCAAAAGTATACTTTTTAATTATGGCAATATCTAAACTATTTCAATGCCACAAAAATACAACAAATGATAGATTGTTTTTTTATAGTTTTGATAGTTTTATAAATAAGATAATGGGCACAAGGCATTACATCAATACAAAGAAGACGACTGTTTTATTTAAGGTTATATAGTTAACAATCTTTTTTTTAATTAACAGTTTACAAGTAATCAAAGTGAAGCTTTTTTTACTGGACAGCTTCTCTTGACTTTTATGATTTCATATAGTTTAACAGCTTAATAGAAATCAAAATAGAAATCGAAAGTTGTCTTTATGGTATTGATATAATCGTCTAATTTACAAAGATATTCATAGCCGCTGCACAGGTGACCTTGAAGACCTATACTTAACCTGTTTGTTTATTAGCAGATTCAACCTCCTGGAAAATGGGATTTTATGAGATATCTTTAAAGATGATAAGACGTACTTCAAGGGATTCAAGAAATATTTAAGCGAAGGAAACCGAACGGTTTAATAAACCAAAGAACGTTAGTTACAAAAAATAAAAATTTTAATCTAAAAAGGATTGAGTAGAGTACTATACTTTAACTTAAAAAAAGATATTCAAATAATACATTTTTTTAATTAATTGTAAATTAATTCATAACTTTTTTGTAGTAACATCCAAACTCTGGAGTGAATTACAGTTTTAAAGTTGTTGGGTGAGCTAAATACATGACAACTTCAGTAAGATCAATAACAACTATACCATTCTAACTTTTATACTTCTAAAAAGTTAGAGGGGCAATATATAGTTATTAAGTTATTCACTATACTATTGGGCCTATGTCCTGGTTTATGATTTTGCTCAGAAAATATGCTGAGAATATTTCAAGATATTCCTGAGGAACTCTTGAGAAAATCTTGGGAAAATTTCCCAGGAATTGGTTCTGAAGAACTTTTTGCTGGAAATTCCCAAGAATTTCCACAAATTTAGTGGCCATTTTCACCAATTTTTCTGCAGAATTGGAAACAAGAAATTCCCATGGAATTGGTTACAAGAAATTCCCTGGAATTGGTTACAAGAAATTCCTCAGACCTGGTTCCTTGGAATGGGTTACGAGAAATTCCTCGAAATAGCTGTTGACATTTTCACTGAATTTTCCTGTGAAAGAATCCTGGGAATTTTCGTGGATTCACAGGAAAGATTCCTGGGAATTTCCGCGGATTTTCCGCAAAATTGTTACTTATTGTTACTTATTATTGAGTCTTAAATACACAAAAAGAGGAGTGATTGGTTGGTGATTAAAACATGATTATCTTCTGATAATAATTGCTGGGTTAAATAAAAATGTTGTTTTTAGAATTTTAACTTATATCACTTCAACGTGGATTTTGTTTTGGTTTGCGACTCGAGTATCGGAGAATGTTTGGTTTGGTGTGTATGTTAAGACTCTGGACCGGAGACAACTCTTAGTAAAGACGACTTTCAAAAAAGATCTGGGGAGTTTAATGATTTTGTTCAACAATATTATGTTGTACATTATCTGTAATCCTAACTACGCTTGTTAATAACTACGTAAAAACATATTGTTGTATAAATACACTGCATCGGTCCATAACATTACCATGTATTTCGATTTACTTTAATTACGTTCATTAATTTAATACCAAGAAAATACAAGTCAGTTGAACATGAATCTAGGTGCTTTATTAGGTTTAGTCACCTATTAATTCACTTGTAGAGAAGCAGAGGGTCAGCTCGGTGTCTTGAAAGATAGATACATATTGAGGAACCTTTCGTTCGAGATTGAGTTGTATCTGTTCGATAGATTTTAAGGAATACTTATAGCAACGTATTATTATTGAGGAACCTTGAGTTCTAGATTGAGTTGTATCTGCATAATATATATTGAGGTATACAAGAGCATCATATATGGACGGATACAGACTGAGTATTATAGCTGAGAGTCAGCACGAGTTGTATCTTTAAAAGACTGATAACATTGAGGGATACAAGAGCATCATATCTGGACTGATACAGAGAACTTATTGGAGTTAGGCATTTGCTAGAAACCTATAATTGTTTTTCACTTTGATATTGCACGCAACCATCAAAATACGATGAAATAAGAGCAATTCACAAATTTCAGGGTGTTAAAAAAACTTTTGTCTCTCAGAGGCTTAATTTTTACCCGATAAAAATGAAAATAATACCACCCTGTCTCTAGAGTGTTAGGACTACGGGAAAAAATTATCGGATTGGTCTACCCTGCTCTGAATAAATGCTCTTTGTCTCTTGGGGATGGGATTAGCCCACGCAGGAGTTCCTTTTTCACATTACTGTGCTTCAGTTCACAGAGATTTTTTTTCATTTCATCCTTGCAACCTTTTATTTTTTATGCCCCAATTACTCTCAATTATAGGCCGGCCATAGTAAAACTTCATGGACATTGTCATGTGTCAGTGTAACCAAACTTTGCAATGAAAAAAGTCAGGGTGTGTTGTTATACAGTGAGAACCAGAAAACTGTGGAATAGGAATTCTGAAATCTGTTTTACATAAGACAAATTATTATGCTTGATTTTGAATTAGATGTTTAAGTGAAAGAGTGAAAGAACTTGGATAAAGGAGGCAAAATGGGGTAAATTTGCTCCCTTCTTAATTTTTTATTATTAAAATCAAATCAAGCCTTGGTGCAAAGTTTTACTGAGCTTCATGCTATACAAAGTTATATAGGCTGTCCCCTTTAACAGTAAAATAAAGTTAACAACAAAATTTATTTATTTTTACATTCATTTTGCACAACATCACTTGTCTTTATCCTTTTCATCTTCACTTTCATTGATAATAGAATGAACAAAAATGAAAATCGGAAACAAAATTAAGTTTGAAGTAAGAAAACATGATAGCAGTTTATAAATTGTTTGTCATTCAAAAAGAATATTTGATGACGATAAAAATTATCATAAATAATAGCTAAGAGTATATGTTTTCAGAATTTTGATAGGGCAGCTAGACTTATAAGGAAAAAATTAGCTTAGAGCACATTTATCTTATAATTCTATATTAATTTAATTAGTTTTTCTTCAACATTTAGAAAGTCAATTACACACCTTGGTTTACACAAATATTCTGTTTAATATCTATTCCATGGATCCAAATAAGTTTAATTGATATTTTTCGTCCCCAAATGTTCTTATGTATATAGGTATTTTTTGGCGTGGTTTGTAATTTACTTTCGATGCGGAAAATATCTCTGTGAGTTGTGCAAAAAGTTCATGTTAAATATTTTTTCAGTTTTTATTTTGTTCCGTTTCTCCTTTAATCCACAAGTTGTAGTACACCCTCTTTTGCTCCATAAGATCTGTATGGGAACCACATTCAATAACCTATAGTTAGTAAATGCTATTAAATCAAACCTACGTTTCAATCCATTCTATGTATATATAAAACGAATAAATTGTTTAGTCTGTTTATAACAAATTTTTAAAAATCAAGAAACCAACAATGGTAATATTTTTTGTGGCGAAATGAAGGCAAAGACATTAATTGATTTCCTTCCTCTTTCACCTGTCCTTTGTCCATGATATAAATGATGTCTGAAAACTGGATTGAAGATAAGCGGTGTGCAACAGTGATGGAGGTCCTCCCAACAGCAGCCTCATCCAGTGCATCTTGAACTATCTAGAAGAATCGTCCCAACGTAAGTGGAAATACTTAATGCAAAAAAAAGATTTAAAAAACGATTTCCCCAAAAAATTGTTTTTATATAAAAACCTGTTCATTTTCTGGGTCTAATGCAGATGTAGCCTCATCTAGAAGTAATATCTAGAAGGAAAAACACCATGACATAGAATTTTGGTCACAATTTGACTATTTTAATCATAAACTCTATAAAATTACCTTAGGATGTCTTATTAGCGCCCTAGCAATGGCAATTCTTTGTTTTTGTCCACCAGACATTTGGATTCCTTTCCCTCCAACCCTAGTTTCGTATCTAAAAGAAGAAGAAAAAAATAAAATATAGTTTATTTGACTTATTTCCTATTTTCTTGTTGCATTTGTCAAAAAAAAGCTCAAAAAAAACTTGAAAAATACTGGCCGAAATGAAAATACCGCTTTTAAAATTATTTAAGCTGCAGTTTAAACAGTGACATCCAAAAAATGTGGAATTCGAAAACTAAATTGCGACATTCTTATGTATAATGTTAATATCAGTAGCATGTAGGCTGTACAACAACTGTATTAGAACAAGGGATTTGATTATTTTAAAAGATAGGAATTTCCATTACAGCATTGTTGTATGAAGTTAAATTAGATATAATTAAGTTTTCTGAAATCTGTTAACCCTATTCCTATTCCTATTTGACCCCTCCCCCCCCTGTAGTTTTTTTACATAACTCAAAAAGTATTGGTCTGAGGCTGTTGAAATTTTCTGACTTTTCCTACATACCCAAAGCCCTCCCTTTAGGCCTAAAACCGGGTTTTAATACTAACTGACTCATGAATGACTGCTTTTTCCAGTAACAAACTAAATCTTTGTTTTGACCCACTTCCACTTATCAGATTTTGATAAAATTTAGTTTTTTGGAAAGCCTTTGACATAAGGAAACGAATTGCACAAGTTTTGCGAATTTTTTTGCAAACAACCTGTCAAAGGAAATTTGCACATTTTTAGTTTTTCTTGTTTAAAAATCAGGTTATTCAAAATTTTGCTAAATATTTTGCATATTTGAAATGGCATGGTCATGGGCTTTTCAAAAATGTATAATTTTGAATTTTTTGGACAAATTTTTTTTGAAATCATTTGTACTATATAACTGGATTTTGCGATAAAAAATTCAATTTTAGCAAATTTGCAAATTTTTTTGCAGATTCTAAAAGTAGAGCACAAGAGCTTTCGAATGATGTATCATTTGTCATATCAAACATGGGATTTAGAGGGGGGGTCAAATTGAACCCCCCCCCCAGCATATCCTGGTTTTCAAGTACCCCAGCAGAGATAGGGTTAAGACAATTTTGGTCAGCAAGGCCATTTATGTTGTCCCAGAAAATTTTTTTTTGTAAGCGATAGCACAAAACGCATTAAAATAACTGAATCAGATTTTAAATAAATATCTAGATTTTGATTAGATTTTTAGATTATATTAATCTTACCCGTTGGGGAGAGAAGTTATAAAGTTGTGTATGTTTGCTTTTCTAGCACACTCGATAACCTATAAGCATGCATGGCTCTCAATAATGTAATGTAGATAGGTAAACTGTATCTTTATTTTACTCCAGTCTACCCTTTAAACTGTGGATTAAGAGACAAGATTAAAGGAGGATTGAAGACGTAATTTCTATAGACTCTCGATTCAAATCAGTACCCATAATTAAACCTTTGTCGGAATAAAAATGTCAAAGTTATTGACTTTTTGATTTTTGATTGATTTTTTCCGTCTCAGTTTCTCTATGAAACTGACTAATGGATTTCTTGCTACAGAAAAAGGAAATTGTGAAAATAGCACTCAAGCTAGAAACACGAAAATAGCTTGTACTTAATTTCGCTCCACATCTTTTTTAAATAGAGGTGCGCCTAGGGTTGTTAATCGTTTTTGAAAACGATCGTTAAACGATCGTTAAACGATCGGTTTTTTTTCGTTTTCAAAAACGATCGTTTCGTTTTCGGAAAAAACGATCGTTTTTAAAAACAACCCACTCGTTTTGAACTTTCAGAAAACGAATAGCGATCGTTTTTGAAAACGATCGTTTTTATTAAAAAGATTTTTTTATACGATTGATCGTTTTAAAAAATGATCGTTCTTAAAAACTAGCGTTTTGAAAAACGATCGTTTTAAAAACGACCATTTTTTAGAAACGAACTTTTTAAAAAACGATCGTTTTTAAAAACGATCGGTTCGTTTTCTATTTTTCGTCGTCGTTTTCATAACGAAACGATCGTTTTTCTGAAAAATGAAAACGTTAACATCCCTAGGTGCGCCCCGCAAATTGAACACAAAAAGCAAAAATTTCAAAACTCCAAAACTCATTTTACAACATGTATAAATGCTACTTAAAGTTAACAGCATTATGACAGTCATTTAAATTTTAAATAAATTTACTTCAGTTTAACCTGCTTGTACATAGATATTCTCAATCAAGGAATTAAGAAAAACTAGTTCTTTTTTTAAGTATTTATTTCTTTAATGTTTATTTCATATAGAAAAATCTATAATGATTTTTTTCTTAAAAATCTTAAAGAAGAAGTTTCAGATAGGAGAAAGAAAAAATGTGCAATGCAAAAATTTGTTGCACCCTCATAGCTTTTAAGAAAATATTGTAGTAAAAATGATGGCCAAGTTAATTCTTTAAAACTCTACCTCCTCAATAGAAACATCTCTTGAATTGTCGCCGTACATTATGTTCTCGGCAATTGATCTATCAAACAACACTGGCTCCTAGATTTAGCTTTAATACACACAAAGAAGAATCGAAGAATCTGTATGCAACAATATTTTTATTTTTGCCAATTTTCAGATCAATCACATATCAGCTAGAGTTTGAGATTTTAATTTCTGAATTCTTTCAGATAAAAGATATCTGATTTAAAAACAAAAACAAAAAATTGATTGTGATTTTGAGGTCTTATAGCTCATGTTCAGATTAAAATCATCTAATAATCCAACGCTATCACCTGTGACACTATACCAATCTGAGATCTAAGCCAAGCCAAGTTGATATTCTTTAACTTTTCGTTTTGAATGGTTAAATCTCCACCGTCAAGCTCGTAAAATCTCTGGATCAACTTAAAGATAATTATCTTAATAAATGAAATAGCGCGCATGTTTGTAGTCCTCATTTGTGCATGTTTGTACGTCCCAAACTCTCGTTTTCTTCACAGAGAGGTTAACCAACGATATCTTTGTATAATTGAGTCTAGGCCAAATCAAAGAAGCAAGCTAGCAATCAAAATCAATCAAATTTAATTATTTAATGTTTGATGAAATTAAAACATAACAACTCTTTGAATTGATAAATATAGTTTAAAATGTCGATACATCATAACTTACTTGGATTACGGTTGATTTACCACAACCTGAAGCTCCAACCAAGGCGACCTTTTCTCCTTTTCTTATTGAAAGTCTCAGACGGTTAAGCACTTTTTCATTTCGTCTAGAAAATTTAAATACATTCATCAAACAAGGATAAAATATAAAAGAAGCTTCAACAATAAGGTAAAGATTTGTAAATATCTACCTAGTTGGGTAAGAGAACTCCACGTCAGTAAAAGTTATGTCTGCCATGTTTTCTGCTGTAATAACTCCTTCCTTACTATCTACGTCAATCTATAAATATAATTTTATCCCAACATTATACTTAACCTTATCCCGAATTTATGGTAGGGTGGGGGTGAATTAAAAAAATTCTTTTGATATCAATTATTATATGTAGAATTTGAAAAAGCATCACTTCCAAAAGACTCACCTTTCGGTTCTTACTTATGTAATCTACTTAGCATTTTTGGTCGTTCTCTGACCAGTAACCACAAACACAAATGACAAAAAGTGTAAAAAATTGACCTTGGATTTTCTTGCCCAGATGGAAGAAAGTCGTCCTGCTGCCATCATAGCCTAAGTTTAAAATGTTACTTATTTTTCATGAAAATCATTTCCAAACGCAAGAGGAAAATCATGTATTATTGTAATATTTGTTCTCCATTTTTTAAGAATTTTAAATATTTAGACTACGAAGTATGCTTAATTGTGTTTGCACTGTGTTCATATATTTCTTTAAACTGCTTCCAACAATTATATAACTAAAATACTTCCTTTTGTAGATCAGAAGTAAAGGCAAAGGAGTATCCGATCATTCCAGCACCGCCAATTATAGCGTTGGATACCCTGAAAAAATGAATATGAAAACCTAAAAGATTAGTCACTGTAAAATTAGAATAATGAATTGGGTTTGCGCCCAACTATTAAGTATTTGTTTTAACTTGATTAGGTAAAATCTCCCCCATATTGACCACAAAATTGCCAATATGCGAGCAAATAAATGATAATCTTTGTAAACTTATACTTACTTAAACACTTCAAAAAACTTGAGCTTTCCGCTTTGTATGAGGTATCCACCAATACCTATACAGGCCCCCCAGCTAAAGAACTGAATAGCCTGTGAAAATCCAAACACCAAACCTCTGAATTAAGTAAAACATATTTACATCTAAAAACACTAAAATAATATCATTATACCTCAGGTGTATCCTGCTCAATATCAGGGAGTGCGGATCTCTAGATAGAATTTAGTCAAAAAATGACCTTTTGTTAAATTTCTGAATTGCAAATAAAAGACTGCTTCAGGTTTAAACTAGCATTTTAATACTTTCAAAATATTTATGGATTTTCAATTTTTCATTATAATTGATTTTTTTTCCCCCTAATTTTTTAACTAATTATTTTCCTTAATTCCATCAGAAACATCATTATAAAACTTTCCTCGCTCCTAAAAAAAAAGATTGAAATTAATTGAGTTCAAAAACGTGTAAAAAAAAAAGTATTTACCTTGTACTTGCTACAGTTCTGATATTAGATATGGCATCAACAGCAAGCTAAAAAGATTCAGCTAAATTATTTTTAAAAATTTTTTCTTTTAATTACCTTTGTAGACCTCTCAAACGCTTTCTGTTCCACTGTATCTACGCCTATTATGACCTTCATGTGCAGGAAAGCAGCACCTAAATATATCCTACACTGCATATCATTATTTCAACCTACAAATGCTTGTTTTTCTTTTAATTTTTAAAATGTTTATTTCTTTGAAATATAAGTTAATGTCAAGGAAGACTTTTCTTACCGATCAGGAAGGGATAAAAGATTCCTGCTGCAAGCGTGAGTTCCCAAGAATAGTAGATTCCTAGAAATATGTTTTTTGACACAGTATATCCTTTTCACCATAAAAGAACATTTTCAGGCAGAAACGAAACCAAAAGATCCTTTTCCTTTCATCCTTTCAAATATGGCTACATTCATATTTGTACATAGCAAAATATAAAATTTATATAAAAAGATTTTTTGATTAATTAGTTTGCCGCTAAAATAAAATGTTACCAAACATTAATGAGATGATGCAACCAGCCACTCCCTGAAAAAGATATGAAAGCAAAAATGAGTAATTGTAAAAAGACTACCCTCAGCAAATAGCGTTCAAAGTAGGAGCAAGTTTGATAGCAAAATTTGGAACAAAATGTTAACTAAAGAAAACTGATGGTGTAATCCTTTAATATGTCAAACATAGGCAATTTATTCTTGCAGAGTTTATAGTTGAAAATGTTATTTCAAAAATCCAAGAAGTACCCAAAACTTTTACTCTTCAAATCAGGTACAAATTGATTAAAAAATCAACCATTCATTATAAAAAATCAACCATTTGTTATAAAAAACCAACCATTCATCATAAAAAATCAACCATTCATTATAAAAAATCAACTTTCCATTTATTTTTGTTTTGATATTTGCAAAATTGTATGATAAAGTGCCAATAAACTGATTTCTGTAAACTTTTGGTCTCAGTATTTTGTTTCTAATTTGTTTTATTATCTGGATATTTACCATTGCTACATTTCTTAATTCACTGTTTTAATACAAATCTTTAGTTCGAAGGATACTTCTCTACACTCTACAGTCTTTGTGAATATCATGTCATAGAAAACGGTTTCCTGAAGGCAATTTTAACTTGCAAAAACAATGGCTTATTAAAACATTGCTTTAATATTAATGCGTTTATAGTGTTTAATGTAAAAACAACCACATAGACGGGAGAAGAATGGTAATAATTGATTATACCCCTACTCATCATGCATGGTAAAAATTCATAATTAATCTAATTACAAAAATAAGTTTTGAATCCGAGAAAATAAAGTAAAAAGTTAAATATTTTATTTCTTAAGACCATTTGAATAACTAATTAAAAGCTAATTTTGTCTCGCTTTTTTAATCATTTTGATTAAAGTAGAAGAATTCCAAGATATTCGAGTAAATTGGCAATATCGTATGTTCTATTAATGACGGCCTTCAATATCTTACCATTTAAATAAAAAAAAGATAATACAAAATTAGAATTCCTAAACTGCTAATGTTGACATGTTTTTACCTACGCTGTAAATTTCAACTTTGAATTCATTCCAAAAATGTCCCAATTTTCTGTACGACATAAAAAAGATACCTGCAACACGGAACCAATCCTAGCACCTGTTGCACCCTGAACCTTTGATGCATCGGCAGACAGTCTAGTACACAGGGAACCTCAAATATAAACATTGCATTAATTAAATAGTTTCAATATTTACCCTTTATGTCGAAAATTGTTAACTAAGAAGTTCAATTTTCCTTGAAACAATTTAGTAAGAAAATATCATGTAGAGCATTTTTTCCGAAAATAAAACTTTTCCGTACAGAATTTTCAAAAGTCCTTTAAACAATTTTCTGAAAATAATCTTCTGTTAGTCTTACCCGTGTTGTTCCGTTGATCATCAAACCAACCAAGTTCTTGCTTCAACATATGCGTAAATGCCAATATTCTGAGCCTGAGTATTTAAAAACGGCTGTTTTTTTGTCCAAATTTTAAAGTTTTTGCTTATTGAAAACGTGTTGAAAACAAAAGAAAAACAGTTTAACCTGTAGGTCAGATGTTCGCCAGATATTCCAAACATGTACCCCTAGAATATCAAAATTCGTCATTATAAATCATAAATCTTTATATACATTATACACCCTGAAAGAATGGCGTCAAATACAAATTTCGAATTTGATCTTCAAACCGTTAAATCTGAAAACAATTTAGCTCGTTTTTTCTACAGTCTCATGCTATTGTAACCATGAGCATCTGAGGTAGGAAATTTTGCATAATTGTTAATATTGCATAAATAATTAACCTGTAAGAACATTGCCATTCCACTTGCAACGCCTAAACCAATGAAGAGGAAACAGTTATATAAAGAGTGGTCCCGTGCTTCCTTTAAATTCATAATATTTACTAGTCTGTCAAATAATAAGTTTCAGGGACACAACATACATAATTAAAATATCCGTTGATTTTGTTGTTTTGGCTTCATACGTTTATTGCATTTAGTATACGTTAAAATCAACTTTTCAGCCTTAAAGCATGATTTTTAACAAATCAGAGTGAACACTTCTATTAGCAAGATTTACAAGGGAGAACTGCCAACTTATCCCTAATTTTTCCGAGTATTTACGAAAAATTGCGTCTTTGCCACAAACTCAAAATTTCTAATCTCTATATCTTTGCAACTTGATTGTGTAAACCTTTTATATTGCACTCATTGATTACTTGATTTCGTAACAGAATTCATAGTTTTAAATATCTAAGGTCTACGTCAGCAGGTCACAAAGATATAGGGACTAGAAAATCAGAGTTTGTGGCAAAGACTCAATTCTTTTAAGAACAAAAACAGCAAACATGAGAAAAATTTGTATTAGATACATTTCCTCCCTACAGAATATTTAGTACATTTATTTCTGTGAGAAAAAGTTTATCATAAAATGTACTGGTAACTAATGTTGTTCAGAATGGAATATAACATATTATTTGCCTGTATATTTTCCCAGACAAAGATTGAAAGTACGTCCCCGAAAAGGAATGCGAAAGAAGGCATTACTCCACCCATCACAGCACTTGACAAGACTCCGATCTGTAAAAAATGTAATATTAAAAGTCAAATCTTACTTTGGAAATTAACAAGCTTACCAGAATAAAAGGCCATTCGCGCGCATTTAGATGTAGGATCCTAAAGAAAAAATTTAAATATTTAACATAATATTTGAATATTATCCTATTTTGACTCTTTCAATTTATATACTTGATATTATTGTTATGTAAATATCAAACTGGTTTTAAAATAATAAAATAGATAGTACTTGAAATAGTTTGTTTCCAGATGATCTTCTCTCTCTTTCTCAGCAATTTCTTTGATAAGGTCGTCAGGAAGCACTGTCTCTGTGTTAGGGGATTCCTGGACAGGGGACATACAAGAACTTTAACAAATTTTTCTCAGTCTGTCCCCAACTTTGCCCAGTCTGCCCCCACAGCTGTTCTGTTAGCTTTCAACCATGCCTGATCAGTCTTTTCCCAACCCTGCATAGCCTGACCCAGTCCCTGCTCAGTCTGCACCAACCCCTGCTTTGTTTGCCCCAACCCTGATCAGTCTGCCCCAAACCCTTCTTAGTCTGCCCCCAACTCTTCTTAGTCTGCCCCCAACCCTGCTAAGTCTGCCCCCAACCCTACTTAAGTCTGTCCCAACATGCTTCCAACTATCAACATGCTTCCAATTATTACACATGTTCAGTAAACCATGTAAAAAAATATGCCTCTCTGTTTTTTTAAGATATATAACAGTTTAAATATAAACTGCTAAACTGTTAAAAGAAATTAATACTTCAATCATATAAGCAGGTGGACCAAGTATGAACGGGATTGTAATTTATCTGGAAAATACATGGATGATTTTAAGAATTGTGAGTGAAAAAATTTACTTGGGTTGGCAGTCGTTGTCGACCTCTGGTTTCATCTTGAAAATTTGAAAGATCTACTTCTTGAGACAGGGACTCTAACACTAAATCCTCTTCAATCTGGAAAAACGTTAAACATGATAATATTTTTAGGTTGGTATGTTTAGGTTTGATTTTGTTTAAATTCTGTTTCTGGCAAAAATTGCGGCTAACTGATATCTGTAATATGGTTCTGGTTTGAGCTTCAATATTTCCTATGCGCATATCTATTTTTTCTCAAATAATTTATTTGTTAATGAAAAAGCGGGAAGGTTTTTATGGAATGGGTTATTGTGAATGTTCTTCCTTCTGAGAGAAATGGAAAGGAGTCCACCTATATTTTATCTATTCAAAAAAATGCAGTAAACTGTATTTCCACCAAACCAAAACGGACTTCTTCATAAGTATCTCTGATTTGAGAAGGCAGTTTATCTTCCTTGCGGGATGATTTTTATACAGTGTAGCAAAAAGAATGATTTTTTTGACTAAGCAGCATGCCATTGTCAAAGTAAATTGGCAGCAGGTCAATATCCCACAAAAGAAAAATAGGAAATCATGAAATTTGATAGTGTTCTTGAACTAAACCGCATTTAATTTAATGTTAATATTTCTTTTTATAACTTTTTTATGTAATTTCATTTGAGATTACAAATGCAATCGAGTGTATAGTTGATGTATATGCAGGTATGTTCATTTAGTTTTGCGAGGGCTCAGACGTTTAGAAGTACCTTAAAATGTTTCGCAAAACTTAATGAACATTTCTTTTCCCCCTTCATTGAAGCCTTCTTTATATAAAGAGCTTATAATAGTCACAAAACAATTATAATTATTTTAATTGACTTTAAATGTACCTCATTGGTTGCCTTGAATCCAAATTTTCTACTTATCATACTGTGGTAGAGTCCTCTTTTATCTGATAAAAGCATTTTAAAACTAACTTTTTATTCTAAATTTGCACAAAAAAATCCATACCCATTAGTTCGCTATGCGTTCCTTCCTCTTCAATGCTTCCTTCTTTCATAACAAGTATTTTGTCAGCATTCCTTAAATATGTTTTAATTAAATTTAAATTCGTTGAGGAGCATGATTGGGTTTCTTGCCTGATTGTAGACAGTCTTTGAGCTACAACGATTGTAGTTCTTCCATATTTAGCTCGTTCCATTGCACTTTGCACTAAACCTTCACTTTCAGTATCAAGTGCAGATGTTGCCTCGTCTAACAACAGGATTGAAGGGTTTCGTACTAGAGCTCTTGCTATGGCAACCCTTTGCTTTTGACCTCCTAAATAGAATGGTTAAAATATTTTAAAATTTATATTTGAAACGTGATACTAATTCAATTCAAGGCTGGGGGGTGCGTTTGGCGCCCACCCCTTAAAAAAAGGTATAGAGAATAGGTATAGGATTAAAATGCATGTACATAGCCCAATTTGCCAATGCCAGCTCATTGAAAAAAAAATTTGACCGATATATTTAATAGTTTGAGTGCTAGGGAGGGTTAAAAAAAGCCTTAAAAGGCGTCAGAAAAATGAAAAAAATATTTTTTTGTTTTAAACAAATATCAAAGTGTAACACATGTTTCTATATCCATTTTTCAAGGGCTTTTCAAAAAAATAGATATGTAGCTTTAGTCACAAAAAAGTTATGAGCTATTTTAGATTTTTTTACCGATTTTTTTTCCGCCCTGTATCAAACCCTATGCATTAAAAAAAAATTTTACAAAAAATCCTTTAAATTACTATTCATTAAAAGTTTCACGATGATAGTGTCAAAAATGAGAGTGCTAGGACAAAAAAACTACATAGGGGGCGCCAAACGCCCCCCCAGCCTGTTATGGTTAAATAATGCCACTTTCTACAATTTACAGAATGCGATGGTAGTTGCAAAAAGGTGGAAGCACAATCATCAAATCGAGGGTTTATTTTTTAAATCAAACAAACAGTTTATTAGCTTCGAGTAGAAAGAATGTTTATATACATTCAAATGATATTATTTTTTATTTAAAGCCGTGTTATTGAGTGGCTGCAGCAAAAAATATACCATTAGTGATTTCATAGACTATTTTTATCTTTAATTGAGACTGAGAGATGTCACTGATCTTTAAAACGATTGTAGCATAATATCAGCTACCTCTTTTTAGAAGTAAAAGGCTTCAATTTATAATCACAAAATACCCCTGGACATGGCATTTCCAAAAGATAGTCTGCCTTTTTTGTGCTTTCAAAGTTACAATTTACACTTAGAAAATTTCGTTCAGATTCTGATGAATTGAATTTATTTAATAAAATTAATTCTGAACGAAATTTCGAATACTTCTCTGGTAATGATAAAGGCACAAAATTAGCCGACCATTTTTTTAAAATATCAAGACTAAGCAAATTTTGTATCGAGAATCATACATGTAACGCTTAAGTAAAAGTTAGTTGACCAAAAAAATACCAAACACCATTTTGAGATCAAAGAAGTTCTTCAATCTGTATCCTAACTTTCAGGTTTATTGTGACGCCTTGTATGTTTCTTTTATCAATAGAAATAAAGGCAATTTTTATTTTTCGATAATGGGAAAAGTGTTAAAAGTGGTTCATCCTGGTCGAAACGAACCAACAAATATAAATAACAATTAAATATATAAAAGACCTTAAAAGGGGCGCATTAAGACTGCACCTGATTTCATGCATAATTTTATCTTCACAGATGCTGCCAATGCCTTCAATTTTCTTAGAATTCTTCTATTTGTATCATAATTTGGATTTTCATAAAGTTTTTTGTTACTCTAAATTTTTTGGAAGCTTTTTTTTATTTCGACCGGCAATGGTTAAAGGGACAGACCGGCTATGTAAGGTAGTTAAACTGAGTATGCAGTGTTTAGGATTCATTTGAGACATATGAAACGTTACCACGATGTATAATTATACTGAGTTTAAGTGCAGCATAGTCGATGTTCAAAATCATGAATTTGGGTGGGTACGTTTTCAGAATCGTTCTTTTTTTAAATTATTTAGTAAAGACGACAAAAAAATAAAGTAAAAATTATACAGTAAACTAATTAGATGGTTAGGAACATATTTCTCGAAAGAAATTTGTCAATAAATCAATGCTAGAATCAATTATTTTGTTTTCATAATTATATTGAATATCTTAATTTCTATGAATTTATTCGCAGATTTTTACAAATTCTTCAAATGTCGTCTTTTCAATAAAAAATCCAGAAAATCTGCAGATAATCTTTGTGAATAATGAGAGATTATAGAAACTAATAATTGAATAAGATTACTTATTTTCGATGATAAGATTAATTTTTATTATCTCAACCTGTTCCTAAACAACTAATTAGTTCACTGTAGAATTTTGTTTACATTTTTTGTCGTTGTTATTTTATATTAAAAAAAATTCTGAAAACGTATCTACCCAAAAGTACAATTTTGGAATGAAATGAAATCCAAAGAATTTGTCCACAACACTGCATACTCAGTTCAACTACCTTACATAGCCGATCTGTCCCTTTAATGGTAATATTAGGTAGCACAAAACCATTTTCCGTGTCGACGCTTATTATTTGATATTAAAATAAACGAAACGAAATAAACAAACAGAAGCAAACCTTGAAATACCATAGATGGATGAATTATCTAACACAATTACTACACACCTGATAACTGTGCTCCTCTTTCTCCAACATGAGTGTCAAATCTTTTTGGCAATTTCATAATGAAATCAAATGCATTGGCTTCCTTTGCAGCTTTAACAACCTCATCTTGAGTAACTTCAACGCGACCTACTCGAATGTTCTCCAAAATGCTTAAATCAAAAAGAACCGGTTCCTGACTAACAACACCGATTCTTTCGCGCATCCATCCAACATTCAAACTCCTTAAAATAATTTAGAATGATTATAAGACTTTAGTGTAACCCAAAAATTTAAAATGATTTAAATTTAAAAAAGTTGAATTTGATTCTTCTTGTAAATCTTTTTTTTTACCCTAAATATGATAACTTTTTTGTACAGGGATAAAAAATACGAACTTAAGTTACAATTACAAAATAAAACTTCTAATTTTAAGAAATCTTTTATGATAGATTATTATTTTTGTCTCAATTACAGTGCTTTTTGAGACACTCTTTCAGCAAAAAGTAAAATCTTACAATTCAAAAATTATCACGTTTTTAAATTACCGAATATTTCTTCCATCCAACTCTATTGAACCTTCCACAGGGTCATAAAATCGTTGAATGAGCTGAAGAACTGTGGATTTTCCACATCCTGATGCTCCAATAAGTGCAACAGTTTGTCCTTTCTTGACCTAAGTTACTTAATTAATTTGTATTCACAACTTTTGGAATTCAATAGAATATATAAAAAATTATTACATGCCTCAAATGTTATGTTCTTTAACACAGAGACAGTGTTCCGGGATGGATATTTGAAGGTTAGGTTTCGAAAACATATATTATCGTCTACAGAAATTGGTTTCATTCCTCTGTCGGATAAGCTGTCTATTTTAGGTGTTCGCTCAATGATTCTGAAGATTGCCGTGGCAGAGCTCATTGCTGAAACAAAAAATTGAAATATTTTTCAATTTGTTTTTTGATATAAGATGAACCATCCCCTTCATAGAAATTGTTAGATAATAGAAATAGAAACTGTTAGATAATGATATAAATTCATACTGGAGTAATCATTCTATTATGCCAGGAATTTTGTACCATTGAAACACAAACTTGCAGTTTGATAATTTAAAAACATGACAATATATGTAATTATTACATCCTAGGAAATATCCCGGTTCCCTGAGACAGGGAGCTTCCAAAGTCCTTGTCTGCTTTGTCTTGTCAGGGTGTTGGATGTAGCCGTAGGTCTTTTATGTAAAGCACTTACAAGTTTTTTCAGAAAAACTTCAAGGCTACTTAGACTGAAAGGAGTTGAGTTTTTGCCACAAACTCTGATTTTCTAATCTCTATATCTTTGTAACCCAATGTCGTAGACCTTAGATATTTCAAACTATTAATACTTATAGATAAAATAACCTAAGTTTGAAATATCAAAGGCTTGCACCATCAGGTTGCAAAGATATTGGGATCAGAAGGTTTGAGTTTGTGGCAAAAACTCAATTCCTTTGCAATTTTTTCCCTGCAAATATCTAAACAACGACAATAAACAAGGGGTAGCGCTGACCTTTTTTCAATTTTCGGTTTTAAAGTACCCCTTTTAAAAGACTTTTCATAGAGGGTCAGATAAATTTTCACATTTTACTCCAAAACCCTGGAAGCAATTCCAAAACCCAGAGAACAGCTGCACCCCTCCCTCCCTGACCTATACCTTGTGATAAAGCCTCCGCATATGGTGCAGATTGTCCAATCTGAAATCCACCAAGAAGCACACTAAAGAAGATGATTACCAGATTCTCCGGAGTATATTCATTTGAGCAGACCCACTCCCCCCTACATCTTTCAATATCGTCAAATATCAATTTGACTCCATACCAAAATCCAACACCATAAACGGTGTACATGATTACAAAAGTTATTCCACCAGAAACTCCGGTAAAAGCGCTTCGGACAACTCCAGATTTCCTTGCAGGCTTGAGTTTTTGAGTATATCTAGAAATATATAATACATAGACTGTAAAAGGTTATACAGGGTTAACCACAAAGAAAGAGACTTTAGGGACGACAGTACGGACTCTGTTCTTGGTGTACTGTATTAGTCTTATTCTTTGTGGATAACTCTGTACTATGTGGTGCTATTTCCTTAATGTAATACTGTATACATTATGCACATATTTGTAAAGCTTATAGTGTTCTACAAAAATAATCTGCAAAAATTTACAAAGGAACTGACTTTTTGCCGCAAATTCTGATTTTCTAATCCTTATATCTTGGCAACCCAATGTCTTAGACCTTTGATATTTCAAACTATGAATTCTGTTAGATTAAGAAGTCAAAGTTTGAAACATTAAAGGTTAACACCATCAGTTTGAGAAGATATTAGGAAGTGAAAATTTAAGTTTATGAAAAAAACTTTATTCCAATGCAATTATTTGTTTGTAAAATTTAGTTAAAACAAAATGTATTTAGAGACAAAGGTTACATGAATATGACAAATCATGCATTTTTTAAATTCCCTTGACCCGGCGAATCCAGTTATGAGAAGTAGGTCTAAATAAATTAATATAGTCCTGTTAAGGGAGTGTTCGCGAAAAATGAAAGGGGTACAGGCTTAATGCGATAAAAAAGCGTTTTTGATCGCTACTAATCTTATCTGTTGCGTCTATAAGGAGAAAAATGTTAAAGAATAACTTAGCGTCAATGAAAATTGAGAAAATTGTAACATACTGCGTAGACAGTTAGACCGTAAAAAATCTATTTTATTTCAAACAAATCATTCAGATATTACAACCTATAGTCATCGATTATCTTTCGCCACATTTGTATATAGTTTATATTTTTATATATTTGTATGGACGCTAAGTTATTCGGTATGAGACGTCTTTAACAATTTTCTCCTTATAGACGCAACAGATAGAAGTAAGATTAGAAGTGATCAAAAGCGCTTTTATATCGCATTAAATGCGCCTATACCCCCTTTCATTTTTCGCAAACACTCCCTTTAAGGTAAGATAAACAATCAAACACTTGATATTAAAGCCTGCAGTTTTAAATAGAAAGCTTGGACTATGTAATATAAAAGTAAGAAAAGTAAAAATAAATCTTGAATATCGTTATTAGAAATAGAATTAAGGCAAATTTAAAAGATACGAATCTCTATTTTTGTCTTCACGAATGGTTTCCAAATGGCACAACCAAGACAACATAGGTGTACCCCCAGAAGAAGATATTCGTTAAACTCAAATTTAAATATCAATTCACCTATCTACTTCTTTGGCCTCTCCTCCGAAAGCAAGGACAGTTTTGATATTGCTAAGTACTTCTTCTGCGACTGCACCAGCTTGTCCATATGCAGATGACTCTTTGAATGCGTAAGAAGCCTAGCAGCAAGTTATATTCTTTCAAAGGAATTGAGCCTTCGTCTCAAACTCTGATTTTCTAATCCCTAAATCTATGCAACCCGATGTCGGAGACCTTTCCAAACTTTAAATTCTTTAGGCATAAATAATCTATTTAGAAATATTAAAGGTTTACCATCAGATTGCAAAGATATAAGGATTAGAAAATTTGAGATTGTGACATTAGACACATTTCATATAAAGGCATTCACATACATTAGAGAAAAGATCAAATCAACGAAATAAATTGTTGACCTCAAATTATAATATATATAACGCTATCATTTTGTATCGCAGGTCCAAAACAGTTTTTGGACAAAAAATTTCTTTTTATCGAAAAGCTTGGGACAAATATAATTTCAGAAGGGGAGAAACTTAAATTTGAATTTCAAAAACTTAAAGGGAGTGTTCGCAAAAAAATTAAAGGGAATATAGGCTTAAGTCGAAAAGTAATCGATGGTGATTGCTACTAATCTTGATTACTTCTATCTAGTGTTTCTAACGCAAGTGGATTTTACTTGCGTGCAATTGCGAGCCCTTGCGCGCAATTCCGTAATAATTGCGCGCAATAAACGCAACAGAACTGGAAGTGTCATACACTAAACTGAACTGCACTAACATTTCAGTCTCAAATGCTAAGAAAATTGAATTTAAGCTTAATCTTTTGTTTTATAATATTCATTTGCAGCATGATAACCAGAAAACTCTGGCACAGGAAGACGACATTTTAGAATCAAGCAGACCAATGTAACTGAATAAGTGATTTAATAAGAAACTACTTAATGTTTTTTTGCTAATTTGTAACGACATCAAATGCACTGTGATGTTGTCCTTCTGTTCCATAGTTTTCTGGTTCTCACTGTAGCAAAATATCTAATTATGACTAAACAAACCTTACAATTTTAACCAAAAAAATGTTCCCATTTTAATGTTCATCCAAAGGGAACGAATGAAAAATGTATCATTTTAAAATGTAAATTAACTAGAAAATTAATAGAAACTTAAACATTTGAAAACTGTTGAAACAATTGTAAAACTTGGGCCTCGATTATTTAAAAATATTTTAACAATTTTCTCCTTATAGACGCAACAGATTGAAGTAAGATTAGCAGCAGTAATCACCGTCAAATATTTCATTTTTCACTAACACTCCCTTGAAGAACATGTTGTGCCTATATAATATTGTTATAGCCTGACTAGATATCTTTGAAAAGGAGGTTTATAAAATTCAGAGATTATTAGAGTGAATACTTCTAATATTTTTCCTTAACAAAACAAATTAAAAGACCATTAATATATGAAATATGTAATATGTATACATATCAATGTGAGTTAATAAATCTTTAATAATAATAATAATTTAATGAATTGTTTGTGCATTTGTATTAACACAGTGGTTATTTTTAGAGCTGACAAGCTTTTAGACAAAGCAAAAATAAAAAGATAATTTTAATTTCATTTTCATACAAATTGAAAATGCTTTTTTTATAAAGATTTATTTCACATTTTTAAAACTAAGCTTTATAGCACAGTGATACAATATATGTGGAGTAAAGTACATTTTCATATTAATACATTCATTTGATGTGCGTAATTGAAATAAAATTAAGGTTTACTTCATTCAATGACCTACAGATCCAAATTGGACAGCTATTTTAACATTATAGCTTGCACGATAATTACTTCAGAGCACAGTTTCATAAAATATAGACAAGAATCATGGCAGAAAAATTCATATTCGCAATTTTAAAATTTCCTTTAACAATATTTTACCTGGGCTTTTGTCAAAAATCCTGAAGCCATGCCCATAAGTGGAATCATTGAGAGCAGCACTAAAGTTAGCTCCCAACCCTTCAGAAATGCTAAAGCATGAGTATGTATAGTGTCTTTAAAAACCTCATTGAATACAGAATTACAGATCCCCCAAAAACTCAAATATCGATTTTTTTGTTTTTTAGAAACAACTCTAGCTAAGACTAATGGAAGTTTTTGAAAAGGGGACGGGAAAAGTTTTCGTTTGTAACAAAAATTTGGCAATGACGATTTGGTAAAAACCTGAAAAGACAAATTATTAATGGCTATTTGGTATCTTATCAAAAGTAATGACACTGTGTAAACTTTAGACACACATATAAAGTCAAATACAATGACGGATATGCAGTCACACATATAGACAAAAATACACCCCAATATATAATAATAAAATATTTTCAGTGTAGTCTGTATTTATTAGTAGAAAAACTACACGTATATTGCAGATAAACAAATCAAAATATATATATAAATCACCAAATTGTCACTTTTGTGTATTTACTAAACTAGGCTTTATAGGGGCGCTTCGCGCCCATCTTCTATTTCAATTGTGAACATTTTCTCTTTGTATTCATTGTCAAAGATAAACAAAGAAAACGCTTGCGGATTTCCTAAAAATAAATATGGATTTTCAAAATTTTATGTAAATCAAATTTTGCTGGAGGCGAATTTTTGAAATTTGGATCATCCATAAACCTTCCCTGGGGTCACGTGATGTCCCACTCAAAATTTGGTCCCGATCAGTTAAGCCGGTTTAACATTTATTGGATACAAACAGACAAGCAAAGTATATATATATATAGATAGGCACAATTGTGCACTTCCAAAATTGTCATAATTGTGTACTTACCAAATTGTCACATTTGTACACTATATCAAACTGTCACAATTGTGTACTTACCAAATCATCATTACCAAATTCTGCTTACAAACCTCTGTACCAAATACCAAATATGATTTTTTGTCCTCCAAGATCAAGTTTTTTTTTCGTTATAAAAGACTAAGAATAATATTCAGGAACAAGGAAAGTTTTAAGGGTAATGTTCCTTCTTGTAAACGTTTTTCCGAAAAAAACCCCCAGAATTTTAGGGTAACCCCATAGCTGTACAGCATAGGGGAGTCAATCACTAAATCCAAATTAGGTTTGAGGTCATTTACACAGAGGATTCAGTTCATGGATCAAAGATGAGTTATTTTTGTAACAGACAGTGAATATATCTGTATTCTAAAACTGGACTTGTAAATTCTTGATAATTCAGCTACTCTTATTTTCAATTGTAAGACTGAATCTGGGATAAGCATGATAATTCATGTTACTACAGGTTCACACAGCGCTAAGTTGTGTGAATGTGCTGAAATATGTGGATAATTCCACTATTGAAACTTCAGATATATATATGTATATGAAACATAAATAATGATAAAAAATATTTCTTATCGCTATTTTTAGTTTTCAAAAGTTGACTGCTCACATTGTTAAATAATTTATTCTCAAATGTTGACCAAACCTGTTATTATTGAGCAGACGAATGTTGACATAAAGAAGCAGAGCATGCCTATTTTTTCACCTAAACCTTCTTGAATCTTGTTTAAATCCCTAAACGTTGATATTCAATGAACCAATATGAAAATATTTTATCAATTATAAAAATCATGTATATACTAACTCTGTCATCTTTGTTGCAAAATCAGTTGTCGTTGTAGTGTCGAACCAACTGATATCTTGCCTCAGAATAGCTTTCAAGAACTCCGTTCTTATTCGATAAGCCTTATATAAACAGGAAATAATTTTAGATTGGATTTCTCTAATTCCATGAAAAAAATACATTATCAACCATAAGGTATGGAACTTAAACAGTGCAATTTTTTTTTATAAACCTGGCGCTCTGCTGCGAGATTCAGACTGGTAACAAACAAATAGCTTGCAATCCAGACCATTATTCCAATACTAAACATCTTTTTGCTGAATGTCAAAAGATTTTCGGCCATATTGAGGTCTGTACAAACCAGGCCTGGAGGAATCTGGGGTTCCGTGCTATTCCTCCATGATGAGAAGGTTGTCTAAATAAATTCTAATAATTCGAAGTAGATATTGGCCTAAAGAAAATGTGACTATTGTTATAACAGGATCTTACGTTATCATCAGCGTCCGTTATGATCTCACTTGCCTCGGTAGAAGATTGTCTATATATAATTTTGTTTGAATGAGTCGATAAAAGAATCTTTTTCGTGAACAAATTTACCTGTAGGCCGTTATACTGGCGTTATACAGAATGCAGTTTTCATTATCAACAAACATTTGAAGTATACTCCCAAACCTTTGAGAAAAATACTAGTTTGAATAATACCTTTCTAAACAAAATTTTAGAACTTCTAACAAACCTGATAGTCATCAAAGGAACAGCTGTTCCACAACCTATAGCTGAACAAACTCCTAGGCATAAGAGCAGAGTGTCCAATGGAGTAGCGAAACCAAACTGAACAAAGAAGTTTTGAAATCTGCAGTTTAGATGTTTTGTATGGATAAATAATATTATACTCACTAATTTAAACACAGAGATTTGGTCTTTCTTCTGTTTTTCCTTTCTTTCTTTTTCTTTTTTTCGTTTCTTTGTCTTTTTCCTTTCCTCTTCATAATTGGTTTTTTTCTTTTCTTTTTTTCCCTTTCCCTTTTTTGAACCGGGAATTTTCAACTCTGATGGTTGGACTGAATTAGACTTGGACAAATTCTTTAAACTTTTTAACTTATTGTCTTGAGGTTTAGATGTAGATGCAGATGATACTGAGGCAGCTGGGAGAAAATTACCCTTACAATATTATAAAATGGAATTTGTAAAAAAAAAATGTTTTTTAATATATTGATTAATATCAATTTTTTGTTCGGCAAAAATGTATCATCGTTGAATATATTAACAAAATAATAAATTAACAGAATGCACAACAAATTTGAAATTGGGAACCTGGTGGTGCAAACCTTTGATATTTCAAGCTTAGATTATTTGGTTTAACAGAATTCATAGTTTGAAATATCAAAGATCTACATTGGATTTCAAAGGTATAGGGATAAGACAATCAGAGTTGGCAAAAGCTCAATTTCTTTCTATCAAATTTTCTTTTTGATATTTTTGATTCTTTCCTCTCTCTTAAATTTTACGAATTGAGAATTTAATGTTTCATGTAAATACAGGATTTAAAGATAGAGTTTGCAACAAAAGGCACTGATACATTTGTTTCAGGCTTAAAGATTTTTCCATAGATAATCTCATTCATCTTGACACAGATACTGGAAAGTAGTAAAACTAGTTTATGCTTGATTTTGGCGGAGAACTGACGCTTTGTTGAGGAGATAAAAGTTCGATTTCCACAATATTGATGATCCATCTCGTTTTTTTGAAGCTCCGTGAAAACTTTAAAGTAGTATACCAAGGCTAGATCATCATGTTGTGAAGATAAACTTGATTCTTTAGTATAATAGAAGTGCTACTGTTTATGTTGAATGCTATTGGAGAACTGAAGGATTTTTAATTTGAATTGGTGATTTTATGAGAAAAAAATCACACAATTTTAAGATTGTTCAATAAACAATCCCGCCGGCCCGGGTTTCAATGTTTTTTTTGTTTTTTTTTGGCTCTGGTAAAAACCAGCTGTTTACAAAGGAATGTCTTTTATTCTAAGAAAAATTTAAACCCCGAGGAAAACCCAAGTGTGTGAATGATACATTGAATACAATCAAATTATGTTGTATCCAAATACAGATACTCTGCATTTCTACCAACCAGAACCGAACTTTCTCATAAGTATTTCTGATTTAAAATGGCAGTTTAGCTTCCTAGGGGGACGACATTATTTATAAAAATATTTGGTCTGCTTTATGGACCACAGCTTATAAAACAAAATTTAGAGTAACCGATATTCCCCCCTCACTTTATGCTGCTGTACGTACTACGTAGGGTTCTTGAGTATTTTAAATGTATTTGAAAACTTGAATATTGAATTTAGAAATCATTTTTACTGAGATAGAAATTTAAAAAAATATGTTTTAAGATTTAAATAATAGACTTTAATAATATTTCCTGAGTAACTGTGGCATAACTAGGTGGAGGTTCAGTATCTATATTTTCCTCTTCCATTCTAAAATCTTTATTAAATATTAATACAAAAATATTTATTCTCTTTCACGTTGTTTATTATGGTTCTCCACATCCCCACCCTCCAATTTTAGCCCAGTAATACATAATAAAATGTTATATGATCATAAATAAACTGTAGATGTGTCTACTTTACTTAGATTGTACCATTTGTAAAAGCCTCCAAATAAATTGAAAATCAAGTAGAATTGTTATAATTAGACACATATTGGATTTATATTTCTAACAAATTATTATTTTCAAAACCCAAAACTGTGACAAAATAGTCATTAAATTGCAGAAAAGATTTCTTTTACAGCTGGCATTTGAAGAGAATGACTGGCCAGACATAGTAGTTGAACTGAGAAAAATTTAACCATTCATTTGATTGATATCAAATTGATCAAAAATTTGCCAAATATAGTATCTTTTACATGAAATCTGCCACAAATAGTGTTGTTAATTTTTAATGTTGCTTTGAACTTTTAAAAAACCAAAAACGAAACGACGATATATTGCACTGAAGAAAAAAATTTGGTTTATGAAAAATATTTCCTTCGTATATTAATGTTTTATCACATTAAATTTAAAATTGTATTAATTATAAAGTATGAAATTAGATTGGAGGTAGACATTGTCCTTGTGGGTAAATTCATTAAAAAGCGTGTGGAGTTTAATTTATGTGATCTAGGTTACGGTTTATTTACGTTTAATTAATGTGATTAAAGGGAGAGACCGGCTAGACATGGTAGTTGAGCTGAAAGTGCAGTATTGTAGAGAAAACTTTAGAAGACATGGACACATGATGAGACTTTTTTACGGTGTACAATTTTTTAGAGTGTGAAGTTGTGTGTAATACTTTGCTGCAGTTGTTTCAGCCAGCAGAAGAAACGTTATTTAGAATTCTTAAATAACATGGACAAAACATGTTACAAATACTAATGTCAAGGTTGCAATGCAAGGAAGGTTAGTTGCAGTTGCGTATACTCTGCGTACATATTGAAACCAGTTCTCTCTGGGCGGAATTTGTAAACAAGAATAGATGCATCAGTGTTCGTTTAGTATCCGAAGAGGTTAAAAGCATTCAATTTGATCATTTTGATAATTCACATAATAGTTTCCTACGACCAGAATATTTCATTGATTTTTTATGTGAAAGATGCGTACACCTCTGAAATAACTTTCCTTGCATTACAACCTTGACTGTATAGAAACAGGCTGAGAAAATAATGCACAATTATATCTTTGAAAATAACTTATTAAAATTAATTTTGTATTCTTTCAATTTTATGCAAATTCTTTTAGCCAGGGTTGTTTATTGGAGGTTTTCTTTATCTTAATTGAGAAGACGACATTTTGAAGAAATCTGCGAATAAATTTATAGAAACAGCAATATGGTGATATGAATAATTCAATTATCGATCTATACGGTTCTACTTTGTCTTTCATCGATAATTTTTTTAAAGAAATATCTGAAAAGAAAATTTTCTCTTACACGTTTTGTCGGAGTTACTAAATAATTTAAAAAATCTTTTTTTCTGTATGGGTGAAACAGCTGGTAAAATATTACAAACGACTTCACGTACTTATTTAAAGATTTTACACTGTAAAAATGTCATTGGTATCAAATGAATCCTAAATTTGTTCTCAAATATGCTACATATAAGCCAGTTAAGTTACAAAGTTTGTAAATCATAAGATCTGTGTCTCTTCGTTATTCATATAAAAAATGTAAATAGATTTTCTGAAATATTTTTTATTTTGTATTTTGTTTAATTTGAAAATTAATCAGCTACTAAGAAAGAAACGAAAAACAGAGAATGAGCGATATAGGTTATTTAAGTATTTCACAATGATAATTGAAATAAATCGGAGTTATGTGTGTTTTGTTAGTAAAGTTGTACTAAATAATGTAATTAAACCAAAAAGCAAAGTGCCTTGATTGATATAAAATATTGTATAACGGTCGTTATTGATCGTCAAATAAAAATAGCTAATATAGTTTTGTTTTTCGCTTTTTCGACGTCGTTAACGCGATTGTTTTGTACTTCAGAAAAGTGTAAACAATCCATTCCCACTCACAAATAGAACCTTATTCTTTAAAACCTACTACAAAGTGAAGTCGTACACCTGCCAAAATAACTTTATATAAGCCACTGTTTTGGCTTCAAACTGTTTTGTTAACTTTGCAAAGATTGAAGGAAATTTCCAATTTTCACTCGAAAATTATTCTAAAACTCAATCATCAGTCTGGGATGAAAAAAGGCTGGCTAAACTCTGTTCAGTTCTCTGTGTGCAGAGCAAAGCAAGGAGAAACGGGTATCCATGGTTTCTTTTTACAAAACATAAACAAGCTAGGGAGGCTGGACGAGAAATAGAAGGAGAGATAAATTTGAAGGACATGATCAGATATTAAATAAATACATAAGTAATGTTAAATAAAACTAACATTTCAAAATTATTTTAATATATTTCGTAAATGATAAAAAGAATTTAACACTTAATGCAAACTCTAATTTATCCTAATAATACTAATGATTATGCTACCAGCTTGCTACAGATCTTACATTCACATTTTTGAACCCATTGATTTAACTTTTGCAAAACTCCCCACCCCTCCCCTCATTCAAACCCTGAAAGAGAAATGTATGCCGTGTTTAGTTGACAAGTTAAAGATTTATGATTTATCTAATTTTCTTAAATCCTTATCTGATCAGAAATATAGAAGATATCGTCTTTTTTAGGACAATTTCCTCCAAATTGAATCTTAAGAAATTTGCAACTCAATTATGAAAAGAACCCATAAGTAAAAATAGTCAAATTTCAAAAAAAATTAAATCTCATTCGTGCAGTTTGATAATTTTGATTAAGCAAAACTCTGTTGTTAATAGGACATGCCATTCTATAAATGAAGGGTCACTAAAAATTACGTACAGTCCCTTAAATTACGTACAGTCCCTTAAATTACGTACAGTCCCTTAAATTACGTACAGTTCCCTAAAATTACGTACAGTCCCTCAAAATTACGTACAGTCCCTTATAATTCCAAATTCCCCATATCCCCAAAGCAACTCTTTTACTTAAAAGACCAGCAATTAATTACAATGCAAAGATGTTTAAGATTATTATTTGTAAGTAAAATTGGTACCCGCCAAGATCAATAGGAAGAACAAGTAGGACAGAATCTTGACCTCCAGGTCTAGATTCTGTATCCAGTATCTCCATTTATGTATCAAACATTTCGATGTATCTGATATTCCCCAGTATCCAACCAGTATCACCTGTATCCAATATCCCCATTTATCTAGTATCATCTGTATCCAGTATCCCCCTGTATCCGTTATCCACCTGTATCCGGTATCCCCCATGTATCTGATATCCCCATTTATCTAGTATCATCTGTATCCAGTATCCCCCTGTATCCGTTATCCACCTGTATCCAGTATCCCCCATGTATTTGATATCCCCATTTATCTAGTATCATCTGTATCCAGTATCCCCCTGTATCCGTTATCCACCTGTATCCAGTATCCCCCATGTATCTGATATCCAACTGTATCCAGTATCCCCCATGTATCTGATATCCCCCTGTATTCAGTACCTCCCTTTACCCGATATCCCTTTGTGTATCCTATGTCTCACTGTATCCATTATATCACAGTAATGCTCTAAATGAAAAATATATTTAAGGATTTATTTTACCCTGATGAAAATTAGGTCCAATATAAGACTATATGACAGACAGTATTCGAACGTTATAGAACAACTCTTATCAATCTAGT